TGATCAAGTGTTGCAGGATCGCGTGCGCTACACCAACATCCTGTATTCCCCCACCGTAAGCGCTGCACCTGCACCTGTGGAGCACCACAGCTTTGGATGAACAACTGTGATACAATCTCGCTGCACCTCATTATCCAAACTTGTCGCAGAACGCCGTGTTGCAAGTGGATCCCAGCATCCGCGTGCTGACTGTGTGGCGTGCCTACTACCTTCGCTGGCTGCGCGAGTTTGAGCCTCGCGAAAATGTGATTGATCGCGTGCGCGAACTGACTCGGGCCAAAGAAGCCCTCGAAGCGCAGCTTGCCGAGCTGCAGGCCTCTGGCGCAGCTGCCACCACCAGCGCCTAGCCCGGAACCCACGAGTAATCCCGCTTGTTTGGACAACAAACGGGCACGGTTTCATTTTGTGTTTTGTGCTGGGCACGAACCTCGCTCGTCCTTGTTGGCTGGCTCTCCTGGCCGAAAAAGAACCTCAATCCCAAAATAAATTGTAAGCACAAGCAGACCGAGTTGTCATTGTCAAGCTGCACATCGCAGACCCACGGTGAGACTCGGCAAACCACACACGGACAAAAGAAGAAAGACCTCAGAGCATGTTTCGCCGTTCTCTTTAATGAACCTTCTGCAGCGACAGTAGCCTGTGAAAAAGTTCGAGTTGTGCAAGTCGTACGAGTAGCAAATGTCTTCACAGGGACCAGAAGCGTTGAAAATCTTTTCATCCTCAAATACATAGAGTGCCGTTTTGCTCTTGATATCGCTTGAGCCGCCAAGACATCGGCATCATCAGCCATCCTGCCTGCTCGTCACTGCTCGTAACAAGCACCCCAAATGGCTGGCGTCGAGTCTGCTTCGAGACTTGAAGACTCGTGGAGACTCGGTAAATGCATCCAAAGTCACACTTTCACATCGAACGGATATGGCCGAGACGGAAAAAACGGAAAAAACGGCGGAAACGGCAGTCACGTCCGAGGCCGCTGGGCCGGTGGCGACAACGGCAATGGATGATAGCATGGATGGAGAGGCTGGCATGGTTGGCCGCGGGGAGGCGAATGCAGGTCTGGATGCGCAAATGGATGAGGCATCTGATCTTCACGCGACAGAGGGGACGATCGACAAAGCGGTGTGCGGGGAGGAGGTTTTTACCTACACGCCCGACGGCGGCCGAACCGTCCATCCCCAGCAAGCCCTTTTAGAGATGCGGCGCCAAATGCAGCTTATTCAAGACCGGTCAGTCCCACGTTTTGAGATCCAGCCGGTTCTGCCCCTGGATGATGCGAGACAGGGGTCTTGGGTTTTTTTGGGGGGAATTTTTTTTTTTTTGTTTTTTGTTTTTGCTCTTCCTGTGGATTTAACTGAGTTGGGCAGTTTGAGGTGCTTGGGCCAGCAAGTGTCTTGCTTGACCATGCTTGTTGTGCGTTTTCGTCAAATGGTGCACTCTCTTGTTCATGCTGATGAGGGCAAGGCGTCGCTCGCTACCAAACGCGTGCCTCGGCTGAGACCAGCTTCAGCACACTCTGTCTGACTGAATCGTTCCACCCCTGCGCTTCCGTCCAGAGTATGTGTCATGCCAAGTAATGGCCTGTCGGCCTCGGCCATTGGCTCCTGGAAAACGACGCAAGCGCGCCGCTGGCGCATGCAGGGATTCAAAAATCCGGCGCGCGGGGTAGGCCGTGGTTTCTTCTGCTGTTTGCGCCTGAGCCTGTGTCACTCACACCTGATCGATTGGGGTCCGTTCAACAGGATGAGCTGATATTGTTCCACTGGCAAGTGCAGCCACGTCGCGAGGGTCGAGGCCGACGACGGGTTGGCCAGGACGCACTCCATGACGGTGGCCCCACATTGTCAGACCCCGAGGACGAGGAGCTCGATGGTGCCGAGGAGGATGATCTGGAACAGCCCGTGGTGGACGGTTATGCGTTTGCCGCCTTCAACCGCTCCCTTAAAATCCCCCATTTTACCACTGCCGACTATCAAGCTTGTCTCAAGGCCGAGGGCTGGAACGAGCGTGAAACGCGCCTTCTTTTCGAGCTGTATGTCCTCTCACCCCTGGCCCTCTTCCGAAACGCACATCACGACAAAATTTCAGAACCCAGCATGTTAATCTCTCGCGCTTGAAAGCACCTGCTCACCAAGCCGTTTGCTTGTGGTTGCCAGCTGCCAACGCTACGACCGCCGGTTTGTGATCATTCAAGATCGCTACAACCATCAGCTCCGAGGTGTCAAATCTTTGGTGCGTCAATGCGAACACACTGTTTTTTGTTTTTGTTTTTGTGTTTTTCCCCTGTCTGTGCAGTCCTTTCTTCCCTGGATAAGAGTTGGTTCGCTTTGAAAGCGTTGCGGTGATTTTCATTTAAATTCACCTTGTCTCTTCAAAGACACTCGCCCCTCCCACCCCCCGCCTGTGTTCTTGTTTTCTTGTTCTGCTTCGCGTCGGTTCTTTATCTCATTCATCATTTCATGGGGCCGACATTAGCTCCCGGATCGCACTCTAGAAGAGCTGAAGCACCGCTACTATAGCTGCGTCAACAAGCTCGCAATTCACCGTCAGCTGCCCGAAGATGATATTGAACGCATTTACAAGTGAGTCTCAACTTTGATGGCACTTTGAGGGCCAGCAGTGGAGGAAAATGTGTGATTGTCGTCCGAGCTGGTTGTGACATGCATGCCACGCCCTCTCCGTTCTTAGATACGATGTGGAACACGAGACGAGCCGCAAGGCTCAGCTGCGGCAGCTATTCAGCCGAACGTCCACACAAATCGCTGAAGAGGAGGCGGTACGGCGTGAGCTGGATGAGATTTATCAGCTCAAGGCCGAACTCGGTATCACCAAAACAGCACAAAGCCTGTTTCCTCCCAAACCCGTGGCGCCAACACCCGCCACTGGACAAACCGCTGCCACGCCAGCTAGCGGGCGGACCGGCAAAGCCAAGGGCAGCAAAAAGGACAAGGCGAACAAGGCTAATGAAGCGCCCGTCACGCCCGGTGTTGCCCGTGGATCTGGCAAAGGCAAGGGCAAGGGCAAGGGCGCTGGCAAGGCCGCGGAAAAGAGTGCGGAAAAGGGCGCTGGCAAAGCTGCCGCTAAAGCTGCTGGCAAAGCTGCCAAAGGACTTGATAAGTCCGCTGACAAGGCTGCGACCAAGGCCTCGGACAAAGCCGCGGACAAAGCCGCCGCCAAGGCCGCCAAGGCGGCTGCGAAAGCAGCGGCCAAGGCCACGGGCAAGGCCGGCACTAAAGGCACACCACGTGGCATTGGCAGCAAAGCTGGCAGTGCAGCTGCCACCAAGGCATCGACGCCGGCCACACCATCGACACCTGCCACACCAAAGCCCACTGGTCGTACCACAGCAACATCGGCCGCAGCTACACCGATTGGTTCTGCCCACACGGAATTAGTACGTCCCCTTGTCTTGTCGATGATGTTTTTTTTTTTCCTGGGAAGGGTTGACTTTTTATGGTGGCTTCTTGTTCTCTTTTCCATGTCTGTCTCACACAATGCGGCATGATGTTAGACGTCGAGCCGCCGGTCAACTGCTGCGGGCACTAAAGTGCCAGTTCGGCTACAAAGCGCTGCCATCAATAAGAGCTTTGGCAAGAACGTTGATCAAAAGATTCAACAGTTTGTCGAGAACAAACTGACCACGCTCAACCTTCGTACGTCGAGACATGTTGCCAGATGGGATGCTCGTTCAAAGCACAAGTGCTTCTGAGATGTCGATTGGTCTTTCGTTCCTCTTTTTTTTTTTTTTTTTTTTTTTTTTTTTTTTTTTTTTACACCACACCCAAGTTGGCTCGTTGGTTCGTCTCTGACCTTGTCTGTTGCCCATACCTGCCTGTTTCTGAGTAGAAAACGCCGTGCCCACCAGTAAGGTGGCTGCGCGCTATGCAGAAGTGCGGAATGGATTGCTGGCGTTGGCCAACGTCACGAAAACCTATCAGCAAGCTAAATCACACTGCGAGCAACTCACGTCAGTTCGGAGTTGATGAAGGAATGGTGTCACTTTTTACGCACAATTTTCACACCCTTGTTTTTTTGTTTGGTTTGTTCCGTCCGTCTTGCAGTGAGCGCGTGTACAAACTACTTCCCAAGTATGGCTTCAAAGTCCCGGTATGTGCGCGAGTGACGTTCCTGCAGCAGTGGATCTGGGTATCCGGCTGGTTCATTCATGAGTGAAACTGTGTGCGTTTCGATACATGTCAGCCGCGCAAATCTACTGGACAACAGCAACAGCAGCAAGGGGCCGCCAGTACCACGGCGTCCAGTGCAGAGGCCAATGGCGGACCAGCGGCCAAACGTGTCAAAAATGCCTAAGCAGCAACTGCTTACTCTTCCACAGGCGTCCAGCTGTGCTGCGCCACTGTTTATTTGACTTGTGAACAACATGAGACACTGTAAGATGGTCTTCCATCCAATGTGTTTTTTGTTTCTTGTCTTTCTTGTTTCGAACGAGGAACAAGAAATCCAATAGGGACCAAGTCGTTATTTCTCATTCTCAACACACCACCCTGCAATCCCATCAGCGAGCTCGTCGTGTCACCCATACACCAACGCCATACCCCTCTCAATTGCTCAAATCTGCACCAGCTTAAAAGAGGCTGACGCCATGCTAGCCACACCTATGCAAACCCAACTCTGCCTGTCCCCTGTCTTGGGGCTCCCTGTCTTTCATGTTAAAAAGCTGCTTTCCACCGGTCTGTACCGCTGCTATGTTTAGCCACGCCACCTGTCTATGCCATGAAACAAGCAGCCCAAAACGCCCTCTTTCCCGGAGCCCCTTTTGCGCTCAACCAGCCGCGCGACACACGCCCGCCCACCCCAGTAACAGTAGCAGCCCTCTTTTTCCCAGCGCTCCCGTCTCCAGTCAATTATCGTGCATAATAAGTGATATTGAATTATTACAAGGCTTGGTTATGATGAATACATGCTATCCCCAATACCTGCCCACTGACAGGTACAATAGCAAAGAATGACCAGCCAGAGTATGCTTGGTTCCCCTCCTCCTCTTATCTGCCTCAGCTCAGATTCAGAAAACAAGTTGGTGGAACACCTTTATTTTTTCCAAATAAAAAATGAACGAACCCTTGCCGCTTTTCTATTTCGTTCATGAGATGATTTCGGCGGGCATCGCTTGTGTCGATGTGGCAGCAGACCCATGACCGAGTTGAAAATGTGCAGGTAAAACGCCGATTTGAGCGATATCGCATTGAATAAAGGAGAAGCGTTGAGGACATGGCTGTCGATCGAAAGGTGGTGCCCAGAAGGCATGGATTTGTGAACAAAGTTTTAAATCGAGCAGTAGGAGTGGGAGGGAAAAAAAAAAGGAAAAAAAGGGAAAAATAGGGAAAAAGGTGGCGGGACGGAAGATCAGAACTTAGAAAGAAAAACTAGTTAAGGGGCGAAGCTATGGGGAAAAAAACGAGGGGGCAGGGCGGAGTCTGGCAGGAATGGGTGCCGGCTATGGACTATAGTCGACCAGCACGGCGTCGTAGACCCCACCATGCCAAAGCCCCAAGGGACAGGAGGACGGCACCGGCACCGACCAAAAGCCAAGGTCTGCTAGAATCTGGGGGCACGGGCACGTCTTTGGCGGGGGAAGGTTCGTGATCTCGTGGTGGTGAGGCGCGGCGCGTGGGCGAGGCACGGGCTGCAGGTGATCCTGCCCGAGTTGAGGGTGTGCTGGCGAGAAGCGAGGTGCGGCGATTGCCATCTGTATTGCGTTCATCAACATCCATTTTGATGGTTTCGTTGGAGCCCGAGGCGGTGTGCCGAACAACCTGAGTGTAAACGGGAAAAACGAGCGCACGGAAAGGTGAGTATAGCGCGGCATACGAGCCAGGCAACAAGGATGGCCTTTGATTCGCCGCAAGTTGATGCGTTTTAGTCATGCCAAAGTATATTTGTGTAGGTTCATTCCGTGCCATATGCTGGTCGGTCGTCTTCATTGCCTGCCCCCATAGGTTTTGACATGGTGCCTGTTTCGATCCTCCACAACCGCGTGCATGATGCATACCTGCCGCGCCTCGCCAGTCGTGAGGTGGGCGTAGCGACGATGGAGACAGGGAGACACGTCCAGGAACCAGGTCTGTAGGATTTGCAAGGGATCGCCGTGGGCCACAAGCACTACGATAGCGTTGTCATGTGTCTGTTCGCAGTGCTCGACCACTGCAGACATGCGGGTCACAACACTACAGGGTTGGCAAGGCCAGTGCTTTGGTGAGACGGTTTTTAGATGCTCATCATTTCGAAACTGTGCCCTCTACAAGACAGCATGGATGACAGCGGAGTGGCGGCTGTACCTCTCCAGTGGTTCTACATCATATTGTGTGTGGCTGGCCGAATGAGCGTCATGCTCCCAAACGTCCTGCAGTGAGGTTTAATGGGAGGCGGGGATGAGAGGCAGAAAGCACTCGCAGGCGGTTGGCGCGATCGATGGTACATGTGGTCATGCCAAGAAGCGGAGGAGAGGAGGGTGATGGCATACCTCGTAATGTTGGCTGGGACCTAGGTCTAAAGTTCCAAAAAAGCGCTCCCTGTCGGGGGGGGGTGGAGGATCGAGAGGTCGACGGACAATCCAGAAGTTGAGCATCACATGATCAAGAGCGTTATATGGCGAATGCTTGCTTGGGCCGAAGAGGAAGCGCAATGGCTTTGTGTGGCTCAAGCAGTGAACACAATGGGAGGAGTGAGGTCAGTCAGTACCTTAGGCGCTGATCAACGTTGGGTTCAGCAAGCTTGAGGGTGGCAGCGACGCAGAGCGCTGTCTCGCGAGCGCGAGCAAAGTCGCTGCTGTAAATGATGACGTCTTCAACGCGTCGCACCTGACGCTTCAGTCGCATGGCTGCCTATCGCAAGGCGAGGTGATCCAAGAAGCATCCCCGTTGCATCGAGATGCATGGAAGGGGAAGCGATATGAGGTGACGCCGGGTGAAACATGGGGTGCGATGGGCTCAACGTACAGCAATGGCCTGTTCTTTGCCCGTCTCAGTCAGGCCATATTCCGGCTCGAGGCCTGTGAGCCAGACACACGCATGAGCTATATGCTGTGTGACCGTTACACAAGCAGAGTGCGAATAGGGCAAGAGCACGACCCGCACCTTGCGGCCCTGAGACGATGAGGCCTTGGGCATTGGCTTGGCTCTGGCCATGTCGGAGCAGAAAATACTGGTTCCGCCAAGCACGTTGCAGCGGCATCTTGGCGTCGTCTCTGCTGTTCAAAGCACCCACACCATGTACAGTTGCAAGATCAATGAGGAGGCGTGTTCAGATGAAGATGAGCAGCCAGCAAGACACATGACACCTGGCCGCGTAAAACACGACAGCACAAGTCACAGAGAGAGAGGCACAAAGAGTGGACAGGAGAGTCAGAGTCAAAGCCAGAGAGAAGTACAAGACAAGACCAGCGCCCCATCCGCCCAAAGACAGCAGCAGCAGCAGCAGCAGCAGCAGCAGCAGCAGCAGCAGCAGCAGTAAACCTGCTTCAAGGCGACATGGGGCTCAGCCGGTGTCAGCGCGCAGTGACACAACTCCGACAGCACAACTCACCTGCAGCGTGCAAGAAAAATCTGACATCGACACAGAGAGAGAGAGAGAGAGAGAGAGAGAGAGAGAGAGAGAGAGAGAGAGAGAGAGAGAGAGAGAGAGAGAGAGAGAGAGAGAGAGAGAGAGAGAGAGAGAGAGAGCGGTTGAGAGGTTTGAGGCGTTTGAGGATTGAATTTGAGAGGTTTTGTGAGGTGGAACTGTGAGCTCAGAGAGGTTATGAGAGGGTAAGAGAGCTTGAAGAAGAGAGCGAATGTATGCGAGAGAGGTTTCAGAGATACGCAGCGGGAATAAGAGAGAGTGAGATTGAAGAGAGAGATTCCAGAGACGGCACTGCTGCTCGACGTGCTCGGTTATCGTCAGACAGCATGCAGCATGTCTGAACTTGATCTTCTTCTCTGAATTTCCTATGGACTGCCCTCTTCACGACGAGCGCACTTTGACTCACTCTCTGCCTCGTGGCTCTGTCTCTGCGGCTGGCGCTGGCGGACTTGCGGTGATCAAATGGCAGCGCTGGCGGGGGCACTTCAGGCCCCGATTGAAAGGCCTAGGCGCGGGGAAAAACGACGCCAGATGCAGCATGGCCTTGCCAACACGGCGGCTGAAGCTGGTGCTGGTGCTGCTGGTGCTGCTGGTGCTGCTGGGAACTGGCATCGCGAACGTTGATTCGGCGCTTGTAAAGTCAGAGCCATTCGACACGAGCAGGTATGCGTCTCCACCGACGGCTCAGCCTCCTCCGCTGTGCTGCCCGACCCTTCCACCCGACGTACCCAAGCACTTGCTAATTTTGATGCTGGCCGCCTCCACAGCTCGGTGGCATGCATTTTGTCCGTGTCCGTTGCTCGGACTGGGAGCACGGCGCTGTCCAAGTCTCTACAGCATCTGCCCAACCAGTTTAGCATCCTCGAACCTTATCATGCCTGGCGAGCCCTTTCCGTCTCAGATATCCAGACTCGATCCATTCCAAGCTACTCGGACCTTTTCAGCTGTGCTACCTTCCGGACGCGACCCGGCTCCATCCTCTGGGCCTATCCGTGCCGTTATGCCAATCTGCTCGGCTGCAACACTTCCAACGTTGACGAATCCTCATGTCGGCGCTGTTTCCACGGTGTGTGCTCCCCTCTCCTATCCTGTTGACACAAGGCTTGCTTGTCGGGTCCATCCACCCATGTAGCGTGATGTGCTCTACCAGCACTTGCTCCATGCCTGGACCCTCATCTTCTTCTATCTGTTCCCTTTCCTTTCTATCTGTTTTCCTTCCCTGATCTCTCCCGCCAAGGCAAGCTCCTACCCTCGGAAAAAAGAAAGCTGACGCAGCAGTGCCTCCAATCACGGATCCGCGTGATCAAAGTCATCCGTCCTCGAGTCAACTTCAATTTTGAATTCCCACCCATCTGTACCCATGTGAGCACACGCCTGTTAGGGCAACGTGCTCCAAGTGGCTTGATTTCTTCTCTCGGAAATGCCTCATTGCCCTCGTCTCATTGCTTTCGTGGTTCCCCAATGCCTGCGTGCAGCGCCACATTGTGCACGTTGTGCGGCAACCTTGGCAGATTGCGCATAGCATTCACGGCGCCGGCTGGCTGCGAGCCACAACGGTTCGTGCCAACATAATCATTTCCTAGCCTTGGGCAACGACAGAAGAAAGAGAGAAAAAAAGGACGAGGCAGAGTAAGCTTGTGATGATCGCGGTTGACCTCACAGCAAACACGCAATCCTCTTTTCTGTCTAGGCAAAGAACACGACTGCAGCGCTCTTGAACATTGGTCAATCGTATTGCCCCATAATGTTGGAAATCTGGCGTTCCCTTCAGACCTTGGAGGTGCGTAGTTGCCTGGGTCACGGCTGCCCCGAGCGCAGCAGCACGTCTTGGTTGCCCAATTTGATGATGTATGCCCCATCTTGCAGCAACAGCACGTCGCGGTGATACCCTACACCGTTTTAAAAAGCCGCCCGCAAGACGTTGTGGCCACGCTGGTCAAGGTATGCGCCGGCCACATTTACTCCCTTTCGCGCCTTTGCCTGCTCACAACTCAACTCTCGTATCACTTTCTCTCCCGCCAACCATGACTTTCTTATTCATTTTTTTTTCTGGGTGGGGCTTTAGAGCCTGGGCTTGTCAAAGGACGGGCAAGTTGATGCTGCTCTTCAAATGCTTCAAGAGCTTCAGACCAACACCTATCATGTGAGCCCGCCGCGCTATGCACACGAACTCCATGGCATCTCTGCTGAGCAGAGTCGGGCATTGTTGGACACCATCCCTTCATGTGCTTCCGTGGGCGCAATCGTCGATGGTCTCACCTCCATTAAGCAATGGCCCTCCAATTCGTAAGTCCGGCTGGGTCAACAAGCACCTGCCAGATTCTCGATCTCAGAGTTTAGAGTTTTGTAGTTGATCAAATATTTCTACTACAATCGTCAGTCCTGGGGGATATCAATGACACAGGGACGCGATTGTCGAATTGCTTCTCGCGTCCCCATTCTTTCCTACACGGCCATCGGTCACAAACGACCAAAGCAAAAGCAAAAGCGCCATCGTCAATCTCCACAGAAAAGGGGCCATCCGGCAGAAAACTGCTGTGCCGGCATTTAAAGTGCTGATACGGGCATGGCACGCCGATTATTGAGGATGACCGCCTATGTGTACCCTCACATTCAGTCCAATGAGGGGGTGAGCGCAAACAGCTGTGCGCTTGGCAAAGCTGAGCGATTGATGAGAAGGCTGCACATACCGTAATGGGGCTCGTCATGGCTTTGCTATGCAATCCTCCAGGGCGCACGGCGCGAAGTACATCCAGCACAGACGCACAACCAGGGAGGAGACAATCACCAAGATGAAAATCAGATGAACCGTGCTCCCGCGTTAACATGAGATGCAGGTGTGACTCTGGCTCTTTGGTGCGAATGGACATGACCAGCGCAGTCTCCCAGTAACCCTTGGGATCTTCCTTGCGCCGCAAGAGAAAGGCTCCAGGGATCGCATGGAACAAGATACTGTTGGCAACGGCCCTGTTGATGGTTTCGTGGACCAGTGCCGCTTGCACGAGCGCTTCGATAGCCGTCATAGGCAGCCGAGGTGTCCTTGCTGTCTGTGCAGTCCTCTTTGGGCGCGCTTGCGCCGCAGCAGTACCCGGGATAAACTTTGGAATGGCCGCCGTCTGTGATTTGGCCAAAGGGCTGCTGGGCGAGCGCACGGCGTCCGTTGTTGCCCTCGACCGATATTCAAGCTGCTCCGATGGAGTGCCAAACGAGGCCGTGGCAGCGCGGGGCCGGGCGGAACCGGATCCAACGACTTGGTCAATGTCTTCAAAATCATCTCCACTATCATCCTCCTCTTTTCCATCCTCTTTGCGGCGCACGCTTGCCACCGGCGTGGCTGCAGGAGCGGGGTCCGGCTCACTGTAAAGGACCCGTTCCATCTTTGTCGTGTTGTCATAATCACCTTGAACACCAGCCTCCAGATCGGGAAAGCAGTCGGCAATCACATCCTCGTAGTCAATCTCCGACGAATTGACGGTCCGAAGCGAGTCGAACATGCTCGAGTTTTGCACAAACTTCTCGTAGTCCTTGACGGCAACGCTCTCATCGTCGCTGTCGCTGTCAGCTTGCTCTACTTGCCATTGAGCATACGAAGATTGCGCGCCTGCGGGGGCTGGCTGCCCCACTTGCCATTCGGCATAGGTTGAGTGTGCGGTCACGGCAGTCGGTTGCCGAGGATCGGTCTGTGCCTTTGATGCCGATGGCTCGGACTTGGGTCGGCGTGCGCACAGCGCCAGCGCAGCGCTCAGCAGCGCCATCGACGCACTCACCGCCACAATCTCCAGCACCATGCTCACCGGTCTTCGGTAGACCTGCACCCCTTCCAGAGCTCCTCCCCCCGGGCGGTGCGGCCGTCTGCTCTTTGCTCCCTCCCCAACTGGGTTGCGGAGGCGGTGGCGGCTCACCAATTTTCAGTCCGATGCGATTCCACCGCGGTATCAACTTTTTCTCAAAATGCGACCTTAACTCCTTTTCTAGTTCAACACGTACTAAGCTTATAGCATTTTATTTCTGCATTAACTTGACATGTAGCTACACAAAGCTGGGCATTTGCTTTGATGAACTGCTCAAAAACACTTCTCTCTGTCTCTCTCTCTCTCTCTCTCTCTCTCTCTCTCTCTCTCTCTCTCTCTCTCTCTCTCTCTCTCTCTCTCTCTCTCTCTCTCTCTCTCTCTCTCTCTCTCTCTCTCTCTCTCTCTCTCTCTCTCTCTCTCTCTCTCTCTCTCTCTCTCTCTCTCTCTCTCTCAAATGGAACGGCAGCGGCGCTCGACGCCTTTGACGCTCTTGAAGCCGCTGGAGACGGGCGACAACGGGGCGCCATGATAGACTTGGTGGTGGTTGCGTTGAGCGCCCTTGGCCTGGCGTTGTGCGTGTACACGCTGCATGTGGCCCGGTCGGCTCGGCGCTCGCCGGGCAAGTACCGCGCCTGGTGTGATGTCAGCTCGGCTGTGTCGTGCTCACGCGCCTTCACCTCGCCCTACGCCGTTGGATTTGGTGCGTCTCCGTCTCTAAACCGTTACCATTGGCGAGACTGCTTTCTGCTCGATCATCTGGGGTGACCTGCTTTCGGGCCCTCGTCAACACCCCCATGTATCACGTTGCACGCTTGTCATGACCGCCCCGCCCCGTCATGTGGTGCATCCATCAGGTTTGCTGGAGCCGTTACTGGGCCGCGACAGCCCGCTCAATCTATCCAACGCTTACTTTGGCCTTCCGTACTACATTCTCATGCTGATGGACGGCTTGTGCGGGATTGACGCTCAACCGGGCACCTGGGCAAACATCGTGCACCAGCTCGCGCTTCCGGTACGCCATACGCCAACGCCGGCAGCTTCTTCGTGCCAAATGGCCCCAACGTGTCAGCCACTCTTTATTCTCTTCCGTGTCAACTGTCGGCGTGATTCAAAACCATGCTCAATGTCGGCTGACAATCGGAATGCCTGCGCATCGATCCTCTAGGCAAGCCTTCTGGCCACCGGCGCTAGCCTCTATCTGGCTTGGGTTCTCGCCGCTCGGTTGCACGTGACCTGCATTGTGTGCGTGGCCTCCTACTCGGTCAACCTGGCTCTGGCTGTGCTGGCCTACTGGACAATGTAATGGATACATAGCCCTTGCTGTATTCAGCCAGCAGATGGGGGCTCCCTTCTTCTTGGGGGTGTGAGCGTTTCAAAAAGGGTTGATAATCGATTGTTTAGATTCAACGCAGTTGACAGTGCCGTTGATTCATCGCCCACGAGCTGTGGCTTGATCAACGAAGGTTAAACGAAAGCTCTCAAAGCCTCTGAAATAGTCACAAAGTCTTGGTCGCTGAGCTGCGCCAGAGGCTCTGGGTTCTCGGGATTTGAGAACTGCTCGGGCTTATCCGCTCCGATCAAGAGCCAAGGCGTGAGCTCTTTCATGGTGAGTGCATCGACATGGTCCTGTGGCACCGCCGAGTTTGAAAAAACCGAGTTTGAAAAAGGTGAAGAAGACGTGATGTCGCTGATGTTGAGGCTGAGGGCGTCCAAGACGGCGCCGACCTTTTCAGGGCTTGCAAAGCCTTCAGGGTCTTCCAACAGCTCAAAATGGTCATCCTGAAAGACACTTGGCTTCTCGTTGGGGATTGCCCCAGCATCGGGCCGATGGACAGGCTTGTACATGGTTTGGAATCCCGCAGAGGTCTTGGTCACTTTGAGAGCCAGACCCCAGGAAGCAAATCCGGCCCGCAGGCCCTCATCGCCGGCCATGGCCGGGCATGGACCCTTGCACACCTGATTCCTTGTCCGTCGCTGGGGAAGGCCCATATCCAGGCTTAACAGTAAGCAATAGAGGTGATCCAAGACTGTTTGAAGCGCTGCCTCGTCAGGTTCCTCGACAAGAACAAATCGGAGGAGCGGCTTTGAGAACAAGGCTGCCACGAGCTGGGCCAGCAAACGGGCGTTTTCTTTCTACCAGCAAGCACACGCCCCGGGGCGCAGAAAAGATTAGTGCTTGGCGTATGCTGGGTTGGGTCAAGGGAGGGGGGGCGGGGGTGGTGGCAGACTGGCTTACTTTGTCGAGGGGTTCCAGCATGGCTTTGACGTGGTGCAGAATGCCTTCAGCGAAAGCCTTCCGCAAGTGGCGACGGACGTGAAGTGTGGAAGGCTGATTTTGGTCTTCCGCCGCAGGACCGGCCTGCCTTCGACCCGTGCGGGAGCGCTTGGTGCTGGTCAGCTGGTTTGCCAGCATGGAGAGCAGATGGCGATCGCAGGTTTGGACGGGGATCCACTTGTCTGAGGCTGGTTGATGGCCATCCCACCCGCCTGCGTAGGCGCGACCGCACTCGAGGTCTGCAAGCAGCGGGGTAATGACGTATTTGTGTAGCTCCCGCATGCGCTGGTCGCTGGCGAATGTCTGATTCTGCTTCCCCACGGGTCCGAGAAGGCGATGATCTAAGGGAACCCGTGTGTGAAAAAAAAAAGCGAGTATGAGCGCACAGGAAAGGCACTGTGAGCAAGAAAGACTAAAATATCCCGCAGCTCTTTTGTGGGTTGACCGGTGATGCATCGAAATCGATCGAGCTCACCGCTGCGGCTGAGCGAGGAGAGGACAAGAACGAGGGCCAGGGCACGGCCTTGGCGCAGTTGCGGTGTTGCATTGTGAGGCCCAAACTCAAAGAACCAGTCAAGCTGAGGTGGGATCGACTCGTCCACCATGGTGGCTCTGATGGCTTTGGGGTTTTCGGTGCAAGCGCGACTTAATGACAAGATGTTCTTTTCGCTTTGCCAATGACGACGGAGGGGCAGGATTGCTGGTCACGATAGGCGGTCAATCAAGTAGCACACGCGAACCTGGCCTAGCCAGTCTCCATCCACTGGTCAAGACAACCGAACAGTCGCTCACCCGGCTGCCCCTCGGTGATGGAGTTCCAGCAGCCTGTCCTCTGACATGAACCTTGTCACCAAAGCCGTGCTTGTGCTCCACAGCCCCAGCTTCAACACGCAGCCACACCGGGACACTCTGTCTTCTCAATCAGCCAGTTGAAAAATGAATTCGCCTCCCTCCTCACTCTCAACTCTGCACCTCCGCCCGCCCTCTCACACACACACACACACACACACACACACACACACACACACACACACACACACACGTAAATCTGCTCCCAATACGAAGCTACGTGTGCCATCACTTTGTGTGTGTGTGTGTGTGTGTGTGTGGTGTGTGTGTGTGTGTGCTAAAAACGGATGTTTCGTGCTGACAAATGCAAAGTCGAACAAAGTCAAAAGCAAAGGGGCAAAGGGAAGTCAAGTCTGAAAGGGTAAAGGTCAACAGGTGCACATGTAGATGGTCAATGGGGACTGTGCGGGATCGGGATCGGGTGGAAGGATTGGGGGTGCGGGCAGGGAGGGGGTGCGACTGATGAAGCGGGCAAAGGCCTGGGTAAAGCCACGGCACAAGGGTGATCAAGGAAAGATTTTTGGGGGTTCAAAAAAATAATGATTGACATGTTACAGGGAAGCCTATTATGGGGAGGCTTTTTCTGGGCAGGTGAGTTCCATGCCGTCTTCGACCTCGAGGGAGGAGCCGTCGCGGTTGGCGGTCATGTCGTCGGGCGCGTCGTCTTCTGGGTCAAGCGAGGCGTGCTTGGGGTTGGGTCGTTCAGCAGCTTCGTCCTCATCTTCGCTTCGCACAGCCGTCTCGTCCTTCGCTTCGTTGGTCTCGGCTTGCTTGCTGTCTGAAGCGGCGGGCCGTACCAGCTCGGGGCGGCTGGCCCTGATGTTGGTTGCGGTGTTAGTTACCGGAAGAGAGGGCGACGTGTGCGTTCCATTCGTGCAAGCACGCTTGGGGCTGGGTGCAGCACTGGACATGACAAGAGATGACGAGAGGTCCTGTTCATCCGTGACTGGCGTCGTCGGGGTTTCATACTGTCGTTGCAAGGCATCTTGTAGTCGGGCCTGCAGGCGGGCAAGGTTAAAAAAGGTCGACATGTTAGCGGCCCTTGGAAGAGACGATACGTGAAAAGTCAAGGAGAAGCTCGGGTCGGTTCGACAATCACCTGAAGTTCACGGTCCCGGTCCTGGAGCGGGACCTCGTTCAGCAGCAAGCAAAGAAAGTGCAAAACCTGTTTCAACACCAACATTTTGATCACGTGAATATTGCGACCCCTTTGCGAGGTGCATACAAGGCGCTTTTCTTTCCTCAAGAGAGATGGGAGGGAGAGAAAGAGAGACAGAGACAGAGATCCAGAGAGATCCAGAGAGCCCCACAATCAGGCAGCAGGCATGATCGGGCGCACCTGCTCAATTGTCTTGGCCTTGTGCTGAATGACCTCTGGACACGCCAGCTGTGCATCACGGTGAACCTAAGATTAGCCCCGTCAGGCCATGCCAAACAGCAGGTTGAAAAAAAAGGTTAAAAAAATAACGAGGTTAAAAAAAAAAAAAAAGTTAAGCAGAATGCGGTGGGGGTACATCATCACAAAGTAAGTACCTTGATGGTTTCCTCAGCATCTTGGTAGAACATGTCAAGGTGATCGCGGTGGGCTAGGAGACGGGCCTCCACATTGGCCACCTCGGTCGCGGTGGCGTCGAGCCGGGCTTGAATCCCCTGGGCCTGGGCTGCGCACGGGCAAGTGTGAGTGTGTGCGTGCGTGTGGTGCTAGTCAGGCCAGTCTCTGCAGCACACGGGTAGTACTGGGAGTCACAGCTCGCTTGCTCTCATTACACACCTGTGGGAGTTGGGTGGCCATGGCCGAGCGCAGATTCAGAGGCGTCCCTTGCGCCATGTTGGAGACGGCGCTCCATCACATATCGCTCACGCAGCGGTAGGCTCTGGTCTGAGTGGTGGTGACCCGTCAAGCGAGCAAGATGCTACAGGCATGAAACAATTGGAGCATCAGGCACGGTGACGCGTCTCAAGATGGAGCCGGACAACCTGTTCTCGCATTTTGCTTGGAGCACCGAGAGCAGAATCGCCTCGGGCCAAAGAAAAATGTGGCATCGAACACAAACCTGCACATCACGGGTGTAAGTAGCCACGAGCTGATCGAGGCGTTGGAGATCGGCAGCCACCTTGTCAAACAACGCCTGAATGGGGCGAGTTGACGCTGAATGGTCCTCCTTCTGCATGGCCGCAAAGGCCACGCCCAGATTCAGGGCCAAAGCCCCAAGTTCGGTCATGCTGATCGCCGGGCGTGTTCAAAAGCCACCAGCTGGCGAGTTTTTGAACCCAGATCAGCTGTGTGCCGTGCGTCCAATCGATCTTTTCGTCTCCTTTTCAGGTCGGTGTCGAGTCGTATCGCATCAAGCCGTCTCGTCTCACAGCAGCTCTCATCAATCGTCTCGCCTCGTTCGTGTCACACAAGTGTGGTCTCTCCTAAATCCGCCTTGTCTCACAAGGTCAAAACTCATCCAATTCAACCCCGTCTTCTCCCCGTCTTCTCCCCGTCTGGTCCCCGTCTGGTCCCCGTCTGGTCCCCGTCTGGTCCCCGTCTGGTCCCCGTCTGGTCCCCGTCTCGTTTCCCCTTTCCAGTGCTCTGGCAGATCCGTCGGTCGGTCGGTCGGTCGGTCGGTCGGTCATGTGTATGAGAGACTCGGCGGGGGAATGACCCGGCTAAGCGATAGTGTGACCGAACTCACACTTACGGACTGGTTGTGCAAGCCACCCTCCATCCGAACTTGATGACAACGACTGGCCTTTCTCTCTGGGTTGTCATGGCTGGTTGTTCTCTTCCTCTGACACGTGATCTTGACGCATGGATTTCTCTACGTTTGCCTTGGTTTTACAGGGTATGTCTGATCAAATTTACAACCATCTCTGACTATTTACCAACATAATCCGCCATCTCTTTTGAAAATCGACATCTGATCACATTCTCTTCTGCTCTTACACAACATCACACACACTCGCACTTTACGATTCAACAGGTGTGTGTGTGTGTGTGTGTGTGTGTGTGTGTGTGTGTGTGTGTGTGTGTGTATTGGAAACGGCAGCGCCATTCGGCAGCGGCGAGCGAGACCAGGCACCAGTACAGGCTCAATATGCATACTTGGAACGAGAAAGTGAGAGAGGGCTTGGTCGTCCCGTTGAGCAGGGGTGTTGATTCGCCTTGAGCACCGCACCGCCCGTCAACCGTGCGAGTCTTGCACAATCATACAGCGCGCGGCTTGTTGACTTGTTCGCACGTGGCTCACTCTGCCCCCTGCCCCTGCCCCTGCCCCTGCCCCTGCCCTCTTCTGCACTCTTCGTCCTCCCTCTGCTCTATTCCTGCCTCCTTTCTCCCGCTCTGTGTCATCTCTTCTCCTCCCTCCTCCTCTGTCTGCTGTCCTCCCCTTCTCCCTCTTTCTCTCTCTCCTTTTCGCTGCGCTCTCCCTGCGCTCCTTTTGCCTTTGCCGTCTTCCTTCCCTCGCCTCTGGGCTCAACTCCCCCCATCTCCCGCGCTTTTTTTTTCCATTCTCTGCCTTTCGGTCGGCGTCGTTGTTTGCCGTAGCGTGCAGCAACGCTTTGAAGCGTAGAGTCGGTTCAACAGGTTGCTTCTTCTTTCAATTTGTAAACTTTCCTCGACGCCAGCATCATGGTCTTGGAGCTGGAGCATCTGCACGAAGCCTGTGGCGTCTTTGGCATGTACGTCGATTGATGCCATTGATTGAGCTCGTCCACCCCACAACCATCCTTCTCTCGCCCTGTTTTGATCTCAAATCCTAACCATTCCGCGCGTTGTAGCTACGTCGAGCCCAAGACTTCCGATAACCAGCCCGATATTGATGTCGCTCAAATCACGTCGCTGGGCCTCTCCGGCCTTCAACATCGGTATGGTTATTGCCGCCTGCTCGATGCCAACCCTCAGTCTCAGATCTCACTCCCGCTTCCGCGCTCTTTCATTCTTCTGACTGACCGGCCCGCCTTTTTTTTTTGTTCGTTTTAGAGGACAAGAGAGCGCTGGCATGGTCACCAGCGGTACAGATGGAAAACTCCGTTCTCACAAAGGCTTTGGCCTTGTGGACCAGGTCCGAAAGCACACACCCGCCCCGCCCCCCTCCAACTGCTCTTCGCACAGCCCGAGCGTGTTTCTCCTTCCTTTTCAACCTGACGCCCTCACTGCATTTCTCCGACATGGATGCATCCCCCCATGAAATGCTCAGGTGTTCAGTCCCGCGACTTTATCTGGCTTGACAGGCAACATGGCCATTGGTCACAATCGCTATGCCACAGCCGGTCTGTTGCCCCTCGTATTCCTCGTTGGTCCCGGATGCTCTGACATCCCCAAGCATCTATCCGAGGCTTAAACTGTGCCAGGCAGGCTCACATGTCGGTTTGGCTTACGTGCTTCGTCAGGTGGCTCCACTCTCAGCTGCAGCCAGCCCTTCATTCTCAAGACATTGACTGGCAACTACATTGCTGTTGCCCACAACGGCCAGCTGACCAATCACGATGCGTACGTGTCTGACCCAATCTTGGTCGCCATGGTCGGCCCTCACTCGACGCCTCGTCCCTGATCCGTTGTCCCCTCTCGCGCGTACGCCTCGCCCCGACTTAGTCTCAGCCAGCGCATCATGCAACATGGTGTGGGTTTGAGCTCCGACTCCGACTCGGAAATTATTGCTCAGGTAGTGCTAGCCTGGACATTCTATTTCGCCTCGTGCCTCTCTTGATGCGGAACACTGGCCTCAAAAAATTGTTGAAATCACTTTTCTCATCTCGGCCCAACACGCGGCCGTTCATCCAACGGTGGCCATAGATTCTTTGCTCGCCTCCAGCAGGTCCCCATAGCGAACACGTCCACGGCATTGACTTTGCCTCTCGTCTCAAAAGCTTTATGCAAATGGCGGCCACCGCATATTCTCTGGTCGCTCTTTGCGACACCTCCGTGTATGCCGTTCGTGATCCCTTTGGTCAGTCGTTCCATGTTTGCAGCAGTAGCAACGGCAGCTACCGTGTCTTCGCTAAGTTTCTACCAGAACCTTGCTGACATTCACTTGCTCACATTCATGTCCATCCATTCATTACTGCCCTCTTGCTTTCGTATCGCGGAAAATGCCACAGGCAACCGCCCTCTCAGTGTTGGTCGCCTTCGCGGTGTCGAGCGCAACGCCTGGGTGGTGGCCTCGGAAACTTGCTGCTTTAGTGCCATCGGCGCTGAGGTCGTTCGTGAGGTTTTGCCCGGCGAAATCGTGCGCCTGGACTGCGATGGCTTGACCTCTGTTCTGACAGTGCCCCGCGTCAATCGCATGCCGGATCAAACTGCTCTGCGCCACACCTCGCGCTCCTCGCGCCCTCCATCCCGTCAAGCCACCTTGTCTGCGGCCAGCTCAACACAAGACTTGTCCGAGATTCCGGCGGCTTTCTGCATCTTTGAATACGTTTATTTCTCACAACCTGAATCCGTACGTCCCCCATGATCCTATATCAGCACTCAAGCTTCGACTAAGCTGCCCGACCCGCGCTGCTCTACACTTGAGCACCTCATTCATGTTTCTGCTGTCGTGTTGTTTCTCTTTCTTGCCCAGATTTTGGAAGGCCAGATGGTCCACTCGGTGCGCCAGCGCTGCGGAGCACGGCTTGCACGCGAGGCACCCATCGAGGCCGACGTCGTCTCGACCGTTCCAACTTCGGCCACGGCTGCTGCTATTGGCTTTGCTCATGCCATGGGTACGCGGCGATCTCGGCCCTGTTCAAGTGTTGCAAATCAGCCTCACCCTCGAAGCCACTTACATCTTGCGTCTGCTGCTTTGGGCAGGCATCGGCTACAACGAGGTCCTTAGCAAAAACAACTACGTCGGCCGCACCTTCATCAAGCCTGACGATCGGTACGGAAGCTTTCATGCTTTGTGATGCCAACGAGAAGACGAGATCATTCAGCCGCGCGCAATTCATCTCATCTTTGTGTCAATATTTATCATCCTGCCTTGTGTCAGCATGCGCAAGCTGGGCGTCCTGAAGAAATTTGCTCCCATCACGGAAAATATCAAAGGCAAACGCATTGTCATCGTGGACGACTCTATTGGTACGCCACGCTCTTATCGGTTATTGCGCCTTGATTTTGAGTACGCTCGTGTGGGTGGGCTAATCTTTTGACCTCTCTTACCCCTCGCTTGGCCTTTTATCTGGTTGTTGCTAGTTCGTGGCACCACCATGGGGCCCATCATTGACTTGCTGCGCCAGGCTGGGGCCCTTGAGGTCCACATTCGCATTGCCTCCCCGCCTCTCAAATATCCCGTAAGGCTTGGGTTGCTGCTTTTAAGCTTGATGATGCCGCGTCGTCGCAAACGCAGCATACTCACGTAGTATTTTTGTCTTTCCGATATCCGTCTTTGTTCTGTTCTTTTTGACAGTGCTACATGGGCATCAACATTCCAACTCGGGAGGAGTTGATTGCCAACCGCATGGCCGTGGAGGACATGGCAGCTCACTTTGGGGCTGATTCGCTTGCCTACCTGTCTCTTGACGGATTGAAAAGTGCTGTGCTGGAAAAGGCCGTCAGTGCCGACCCGCAGGGTCCCGCTCATTGCACCGGTAGGGTCCATCTCCTCCGCATGCAGTTTGGTGCAAACAATGTCTTGATACCAAGCCAACCCCGTTTTCGCTCACGCCTTTGACAATCTCGTTCGTATAGCTTGTCTGTCTGGTGACTATCCTGTCGAACTCGATTGGTAGAGGATGTTTCACCTTCAGGTCTTTCCAGCATCACGTCTCGGGTTTTTCAGACCATCAAGTCTTTCTCTTCTTCCCGCTGCTTTGTGCCGTTTTCGTTGTGACACTGCTCGTCCTGGCTGATGTTGTTTTGTGTACACTCGATCGTCGACTGTTTTTTTTCCCGTTCTTTCTCTGCTCGTCGTTGTTGTCGCCTTCTGCTCGTTCAATCATCCCTCTTTGTCGTGCCGCACTGGTGGTCGTGGTTGCCTTGGTCTTTTTGCGTGTTTATTTAGGTTAGTCTTACCACCTGCAGCCTTGTTTGTATGGACTGCACTCTTCAATCAATGATTCAAAAGATCACTCCTACCGTCGCCTCTTTGGGAAGTATTCTTGTTGTTGACTGATGGCTGCACCCTAGAGCATGGACGAAACATCCATCGACACACAATGCACACTTATGTAATCACACAGCGTTCAACGGGCCAGCATCTGGCTTTTAAATTCCACAAGTGCACACGGCTGCAAGGGGTGTTGGTTCTTGGGCAATCGCAACCACCGGACGAAACAAGCACAGGCCGCGTGTGGCTGCATTCGCACTCCCCAACTACATTCCCATGCCTTTCCGAAAGGAGCGCCTCACAGGTTGGGCACCTGCAGTCCTGCTAGCACGGCCGGGCTCTTGGGTGGCCGGGGCGGGTGGCTACAGGCTGCTGCATCCTGGTGCGCCTGCACGGCTGACACGCTTGTCGAAACCGCTTCTGATGCGTCAGTTGTAGGTACTCTTGCCGAGGGCTGCAGGTCGTCAAAGCTCCACTCTTGAATGTCTTCCTCTGCCTTGGTCTGCTCACGAAGCGGTCTCATGGATGCTGGCTGGAGTCGAGCCTCTTGCCAAGATGCCGATCCAAGCAACGGTGGGGCACCTTCACACTCCTCTGAGTCCGTCGCCTCTCTTGCACCATCTTCCCATAACACGTTCGGGATTGGACTTGTGTCGTCAAGATCCTCTAGCAATGAGCCCCAGCCGTTGGCAGGTCGGTCGAGCCTCAAAATTTCCGGCAAAATCTCGTCCAAGGCTGCACTGATGTCATCCCACTCGTAATCATCAGGCGTTGGCTCGCAAAAGGGAAAATCAAGATCCCTCGAGTCGATAGCCGCTTCTCCAGAAGATTGACTTGTCGAATCGTTGCAGGACCAGCCGTGAGCCGTCAGGGGCCCCGAAGTCAGCAGCTCCGGCCCAAGACTGCCTTCAGAGCAAACACTCAAATTCGTATGTGGCTCCGGGCTCTGCATTGCTCCATGCAAAAGCAGGTCCTTGGAATTGTTAACCCGCTGCTGCCGCTTCATTGAGCGTTTGACCGCTTTGGCACGCTCTTGTAGCATGGTACCCGTTGCCTGTGAAGCGTGCACAAGGTCATCATCCCCGGTGGACAAGGCACCGGCCGTGTCTACTACCGCAGTGCGATAACTGCCACGGCGGCGTGCCCGGATCTGAGCACTGGACGACGTCACTGTGGGCGTGCCCTCTCCGACTGTCGCCTCGCGCTGGGCTTGCTCCAGTCGCACCTCAGACGAAGCTCCCATTGGACGCTGGCGGCGGCGCTGCATGGTGCCCTCTCGCACTTGGAAGCGGCTCAGATCCTGGGTGCGTGATCCGTCATGGCGGACCATTGACAGACGCGCCTCGGCACGACGCAGAGCGTGCAAAAAAGTTGATGTTTCCGTCGCAGGACCATAAATGCGGTGTAGGCTCCTGAGGCGCTGCTCAAATGGCTCCAGACGCTGCTTTGAGTATGGGTCAATGGCTGAAGCAATGGCGCGACGAGCATGGCGGGCCGTGGCCACCGGATCAACCTCGGGTGTCCGACGTAGTGTGGCAGCAGACATGGTGAGCTTTTGGAGGTAGGAGTCAACCTGCAATGCTCGGTTGCTATAGTGAGCAAAGGGCGACCGCAAACTTGCTTCTAACGTCGCCAGTCGTGCCTGTGCGTTGGCAGCGTCCCGAGTTGTACAGGACGGCGGCGCTCCAGCGGTGCCGGTTCGCAGAGATGCCAGGGTCGTCCGAAATAAGCGCGATACGGACGACAGCATCAGTTGGGTGCAGTGTAGGGCGGGCAAGTCGCGAACCCAGCAATTGCCGATGAGGACCGCCCACTCTTCTTCCATCGCACGAAGTGCCTCCTCATCTTCATCAACCTCTTCCACGGACCGTGCATCTGCACGCCCGCTACTACCGCGCCGGCGTAGAGAGCGCGCCAGGCGACCCAAGCGGCTGCCAGAGCCTTGTCTTTGTAGCCCACTGTTTGAACCGTGTCGCTTCATCGAGGAGCGTAGCTCACCCTCAATCGTCCCACTGGTGTCCGGCGTAGCTGCCCGTGACCCAGGTGCTTCCACGCCACCACTTGGGTCGCTTTCCATGGCCACAACCGAGGGCGCAGTAACGCCTTCAAGACTGGCCTGTGAGCTTCGACGGCGAAGAGCTGACTTGCGTTGGCCACTCCCGCTCTTTCGTCTGCGCTCCCCGCTCAAAGCTGTCAGGGTTCCACGTGTGACCAACTGCGTCATCATGCCAGCAGATGCCAGAGTATATAGGCGAAAACTTCCGCTCATCGGTTCGGGCATCAAGGCCCGCAGGTCAGCCGCCAGGCACGATGGGCGATACACATCAAGACGCCACACGGCCGAGGACGTGAGGCGCACCAGGGCTGTCTGCAGCCGTTCTGTGAGAAGCGTAAAGGCTTCCGTGGGTGAGCGCAGCCCCGCATGCAGGGCTGCGTTGAGCAAGCGCCGCAGAGCCTCGGGCGAGTCTGTGGTTCCTGGATGTGGCGTATCCGGGTCTGCCAAAAGGTAGCAGAGGATGCGTGCACAGCGAGGATGTTCGGCTATTGGCGTCTCGGATGAAGCCTGCTGGGACTTGGTATTAGGGCGGCTTTGTTCCTCGTCGGCGGCTAATCGCACGACTTGGAGCGCGCTGCGTAATGCGGTGATGTCTGCAAAGATTTGTTGTAGGTTATCCACCGCCACCACTAACAGAGTCTCTAAGATCTGCACCGCCGCCGCACTCAGAGCCAATGCCCCACTTTCGGTGCCTATGGAATCGTAGGGCAAGAGAGCGGGCCCGATTAGCAGCGCCAAGCGGCGAACATTTTGCACCAATGGCGGGGCCTGGGCCAGCTCGGTCTCAGTTTCTGTCAAAATCTCTGACGGCGTCGTGCTGCGCCAACCGGACGTGGATGCCGGGCGACTACGACTCGAGTCGGCCGTACCCGGGCGTTCTGATCCCAGAGCCACGTCCTCGCACAGGTTTTGATCCAGTGCCGTGCGGCGACCGTCCGCATCAAGCACCAGTAGAGCAAATGTGACAACGAGTACGCGCAGGGTGTTGTGCGCCGGTGCAGGTAGGCTGTGAAACCAGTTTAAGGCCATGCGCGTCAGGCTCGCTGCACTTGTTTGGTTTGTTGTGCCAGCAACCAAGCGCACAAAGTCAAGTGAGAGGAGTCCGCCAGGAAGAAGTTCAAGGAAGGTGTGCAACAGTCGGAATACTAGGCTAGGGTTCGGGCAGGCTTCAATGGCCTGAGTGGCGCCCGTCTCACAACGTTGCCGCAAGCGGTCCAATTGAGCGAGGTCGACCTGCTCATTAAAAATACGCAGCAGCGGATGTAACGAGTCAGTAGCAACACCAACAGTGGGGGCCACTGTAAACTCGGGGCTACCATTGAGGGGGCAGGGCATGGCCAGAGTCAGAAGACGCTGCGTGCATGCCTGAACCAAGGCCGGTACGTCCGTCCCAAAGTGGCGGTGAAGCAGCTTGAGAGAGGAGGCAAAGACACCATGATCCGCACGCATGCTGCACTCGGCCTCAGCTAACACGGCATCCTCTGCAGCAAAGACCTCCTGGGGCGTACGCGCCTCAAACCCACCATCTGCACGGGCCTGAGATCCAGCGGCGCGAGACGAAGCGTCAAAAAGAGACTCCCAGAGCGCAACCGTGGCCTGTGGGGGCGCGTCAGAGTCCGCCATCGGATCGGTTTCCCCTGCATGTAGAACAGGGTCAACGTTGGCATGCGAGGCTGCGGCTTGGCCAGTTAACCCTGAAGTCGCACCAATCTTCAAGCCGTCAAGCTCGAGTGGTGCAGCGGCAGCCTCAAACATGATAAAGTCGAGGAGCATTTCCCGAAAGAGGCCCACCAGGCGATAGGCCGTGTCGTCCAGGTCCATCCCATCTGGGCTTGGGCTGCTGGGCCGATCAAGACGGCTACGTCGCTGACTACTGTGCTGTGGCCTGGGTTGGCTGGAACTGCCTTGGGCGTGCTGGTCTTGCAGAGGATCGCATGATGATCCAGCATGCGGCTGCTGCTGTGTGGGTAGCAGCTCGGCCGTGGGTGTATCGCCAACGTCACCCGCACCTCGAGACACATGTGTACGAGCATGGGCGTGCATTTGCAGAGCATGGTTTAAATGGACTTTGAAGAGGGCGAGCCAGGCTCGGCCATCGGGGGGCGCATCGAACGGGCCTGGTCGCGTCAAAAGGATGTACAGTCCTTGCACCAAAACTTCGTGAACGCCGAGGATGGCGGCAAGAAAGGCATGGCCGTAGTTGATGCGGGGGCTCGCACGCAGGGCTGCAATGTGAGCCTGCAGATACATGTCCAGAGCCTGTAAAGCGGCGATGGATTGCAGTTGAAGGTCGGCCAGGGCATGGCCACGCTTCGCGTCATGTTTACTCATTTTGTGGGAAGGCGGGTACAACGCGAGGTGACAGAGACCAGCTCCACGGCCGTAATAAGACTCGACAACAATTTTGATGCAGCGGGCAGCCACCCCTTGTTCCGTGTCCCCGAGCAATACACTCACGGGTTGAGGCGTCGCCTGGCCGCTGGCCAGAGCCTTGCGCTCGGATACGGAGCTGCCTCGCACATCGGGAAGGGTCATGGTGCCGACCAGAGTCCAGGGCAGACTGTCAAAGTCGCCTTGGTCCAAGGGCCCGGACTTTTCCGGGAGGTCAGCCAAGGTGGTATAAACGGCAAGGGCCCTGAGGCCGCGAGCAGTCATGCTATCGTTGTTGCCCGTGTTGATGAGTTCCAATCGTTCAAGGCGGATAGGGCGGGAGAGCTGGAGTAAGAGGGCTGGGCCGGCTGTATCCGGGGCCATGAGCCAGTTGGTTTGGCTGTTGTCCCCCAAGGGCTTTTGGCCAAGGTTGATCTTGAGATTGTCAACAGCGTGCTGGTCATCGCTCACATTGGGATGATCATGGGACCAGCGTATGAGGTATGGCACGGCGCTGCGTCGGGACAGGTCGGTCTCGACGGCGCGGGTGCCGCGGGCTGAGACGTTGAAGGACGCACGGGCGCTGCGACGCAAGCTGCGCTGGGCGTGCGATGAGAATAAGCGTGCGTCTGAGGTGGCAGCTGATGTTGTGCTGCGGGTTTTCAAAACCAATGTCTGATGGGCCACTGGGACGACTGTTGAACCCTGCCGAGAGGCGGTGCGGGCCAAGAAGCTGCTTCGCTGCGGGGTCAGGCGGGTAAAAGACCGGCTCGTGGCATCCAGCTCGACCTGATCAGGTCGACGCCAGGTCGTCATTGCAGCGGGAAGAGGCCGGTAGCGGGCGTGCCGGACTTGATCAATCGGCTTTCTGGGGTCTTAACGTGCCAGCTAGCTCTGTCAAAGCGCGGATCTGCCGCTGCTGCGTCGAGGGTGCCTCGCCATCTGCAGCAGGAGAAACGGGTTGCAAAGCGATCTGCTCGCCAAGCGTGGCAACTGGATCCTTGGGGTGTCAACACTAGGCGGTAGAGGGGCGGTAAGGGGGGTGCATGCGGAACAAGGGGCGCTGTTGACTTTGTCCACAGCCTAGAACGTAGGGTTCAAGAGTGTCCGGCCTCAAGTTGACGGCAGTGGCGACACATCCTTGGTCCTACATCAATCACAACACACGTGAGGCACCTGCAGCTGAAATCGACAAATCAGGTGTACATGGCAGGGCTGAACCAGCCGCAAGGCCTGCCATCTCGGACCAAACCCAGATCCACGCCGACCAAGAAACCTACCGAAATGGGATGGGGGGGGACACTCTCGATCCGGGACCAAAAGGAGACGAAGAAAGTGGGGGGGGGGGGGCAAGAAGGAGAAAGAGATGGTGGTGGTGGTGGTGATGGTGGTGGTGATGGTAATCAAAGATCAGGGAGGCGGAGGTGGATGAGGAAGTGGAGAAGGAGGAGGAGAAGGGCCAGGAGGAGGAGGAGGAGGAGCGCAAGCATGTACGCAAAGAAGTGATGGTTACCGTGCCTACATACGCCAGATGAAGAAAGGTACGCCAGATCATTATGATAAGGTACGCCAGATCATTATTATAAGGTACGCCAGATTAATATATGGTACGCCAGATGACTTTTAGTCTCGGATGATACGCCAGATTATGGAGAAGCCAGGCGAGATGCGAGAGAAGCTACGCGAGATTGAGCCATGTGAACTGCGACTGATGAAGGGGCGCGGCAGGAAGAGTGGGCAGGTTGAAGGTAGTCAATTGGTCGAGGAGGCAGGCAAAGGAATGGGAAAGTGACGAAGGTAGAGGAATTGGCGGGGGGAAGGTCTATCGTAAGTGAACGTAGCTTAGGGCACATCTCAAACTCTTTGAGGAGACGGCGGGCAAACAAGAAACGTGGGTCGGAACATCAAACACGGGGCCCAGCCCAGCACGGATAATCACAGAAGAACACGGGGGCGAGGGCAGTTTTTTTAAAAAAAAAAAAAAACGCAAATCGCATGGCGGCAAAGGCCCGGAGGAAAGGGTGGGGAGGACATGATGGCTGTGGTGTGGGATAAAACAAAAAAAAAAAAGAAAAAAAAAAAGAGTGTTAAGGTGCGGTGAAAAAAAAGGGGTACACGCCACGCCAAGCAGGACGGCATCAAGGGATGTTAAAACACGTTGAAGGGCAAAGGGGTACTGGGGCAGTCACAGACATTGAAACATGCAAGCGCACACAGACGCGCGCGCACACACACACGCACACACGCACACAGGTACATCTACGCACATGGGCACGCCTGCAAAAACAAGAGAAAAAAAATCACAGGCTTGTTGATAATAGCCAAGCAGAGGATGATGAGCAAGAAGGGGGCTATGCTCTGCGCGCGCCGCAAACTGACCGACGGGGAACAGGGTCGGTATACTTGCGTCAATTGCTGCGGTGTGGCCAATTCATTTTGCCTTCACAGCACATTTGCACGCTTCGTTCGAGGCGACAATGAGCGCAGTTGGAGCATTCGCAGTCGGCATTCGGTCCGCCCTCGCAGGAACAGCGGGTATCTGCTTTTTTAAACTTGGTGGCACGCACCCCTATGTATATGTAGCAGAGTGCGGGGAGGGTAGGGGTGAGAGATGCAACTTTTATACAGATAAACAAGTTTATGACCGCCCGTGATGAAAGGCCATCTTCAGGCCGGAGACTGACATTGGATAAACTCATCGACGCAGGCCGAAGGGTGTTGGCCAAATTTTTCAAGATATTGTTTGCATAAAAATTTGAGTCGTTGTCGGGCGCCATCCTTGGACTGCAGGCCAGCCGCACGCTTGCCTCGCTTGGAAGCGGGGGCAGCAGCGTCGGAGGCAGGTCGAGCGTCGGCGGCACTACGACGTCGCCCACGTGGTGCGGTGGCACCCGAATCGCTCGCGTCGCCGCTGGGCTCGGGCGCCGCAGGCAGAGAGCTGCCGGTTGGCACAGAGTTGGAGCGCGCCAGAGCAGTTTTGACGCGCGCTACCGCCGAGGTAGCCATGACCGTGGAGGGCACGCTGCTGGAACTAGGGCTAGAAGCCCCTTTACGAGCAGAGGGACGGGGTTTGGTCTCTGGACTTGTGTCCTCTGAGCGCGACACACCGGTAACCGTGCTCAAGTGGGTGTTTGAGCGGTCGGGAAGACCGACAGCCCATTGATGAAGTGAAGCAGGCATCAAGGGGTCGCTAAGGTTGTTTGTAACGACGGTGGCATCGGCAAGCTCCGAGGCACGTCGGACAGCATCCGGGGAGCTTGACGAGCCGTTGGTGCGAGCGTGGGCGCCGGACGAAGCGGATATACCAGTAGCGGAGCTGTCACCAGTGGCATGGAGACTTGCACCATAGGGGGTCGCGGCCTCGGCGGAGGGGGGCGTGCGGGGCTGGCGTGATGCGTGTGCGTGGGATGAAGCGGTGGGCGCACGGCGCACCTGGTTGAGGGCCTCAATAGCAGAGAGAGCATCTCCGTGGCGCCGCAACTTGTGACGGGCACGGTGCTCTTGCCGAGGCACCGAAGGGCTGGCATTTGAGCCGACACGATCAGCTGTCTGAGGCGAGGCGGGTGTGGAAGGAGTAGCGGGACTGGTAGTCGTTGTGGTGGTGGTGGTGTCTCTGTCCCGGCGGTCGGAGGCCATGGTGGCCAGCAGGTGAAGTTCCGAGCTGATGTGTGCATCGAGCAATGAGCGAGCTTGAGAACGGGGCTGCTCATGATGGTAGATACCTCCATGGTCCGTCATGGCGACCGGGTGCCGGTGGCCTGACGAGCCGCGAGGTTCAAGATGGTGGTCTTTGCTGGAATCCACGGCAGAAAGTGCTACCGGCAGACCTCGGGGCACGATGACCCCTTGCAAGCCTGGGACAGATGAATGGTTTGAGGCGGGGAGCGGACGGGAGCCAACACCAAGCACAGGGCCACCGCACACTCTGGCTCAAGGCAACAGCGGGGCGGGGTGGTGGCGGTGGCGGTGGCGGTCGCAAGGCGAGAGAATAAATCCCTCTCGCTCCTTCCGTCAGCAAAACGGACAGGGCAGAGCAGGTTGACGTGACAGAATGCTGCTTGGCGGCGCAAGGGTGGTGGAAGCACCAGTCCCAAGCGGCAGGGGCAAGTCCACGACGAATGACGACCAAAGGGCAAGGGCAGGAGGAGGAGGAGGGCTCGGACTAAACCCACGGGGGACGAGAATGGCCGAGTACCCGAAGTTTGGAAGCGGGGTGTGAAGGCTAGCGTGTGTGATGACGCAGTGGATGTGGAATAAGAGGGCCGAGAGGGATGAGCGAGATGAGCAGGCCGAGCGTGATGGGAGGAAAGAGATGGTGAGTGAGAACTGGGCTTGCGGCTGCTCACCGTGAGCCTTTAGGAGCCCTTGGAGGCGTTTCTGCCCCCTATTGAAGCTCTCTCGTGCCGCTCTGGAGGGCTTTGACAGCTTTCCCCCGTGATCAGCGGGATGTCGTGTATATGTGATGAGGGCCAGAGCCGAAGACCAGACAGGCTGGCCCAGCGAGCGATGATGGTCTGTTGTCGGGGTTGTTGCGTCGGGAGCCAGCTGGGTTGTGGTGACGGAGGGCGCAGCCGTTTTGCAGCCCGCGTGTGTGTGTGTGTGTGTGTGTGTGTGTGCGTGTGTGTGATTTCGTCGAGTACACCTGCGACTTCTCAAGCTCCAACACCAAGGAGCACCACCAACAAAGGGCAGCAGACTACACGCCCCGCTTCGCCCCAGGCAGCACGCCAAGAGAAGGTATAGGCCCAGGGAGGCACCCTGCAACCTGCACCCTGCACCCTGCACCCGAGAGATGCTCCCGGCTGCCCTCATGCGTAAAACACCCGGGCAGAGAGAGAGAGGGATGGGGAGAAGGAGCAAGAGAGGGATGGAGATGGAGCGAGAGGGGCAGAGATAGCGGGAGGAAAGGGAAGAGATACAGAGATAGAGGGAGACAGAGGAAGACCAAAGAGCGAATGTGATACACGATTCCAGAGAGACAGCGAGTGAAACACACGTTTCCAGAGACACGCACTTGCTCTTGTTAAAGAGGTAGAGATGGAGACAAAGACAAGCTCAAAGTCAGAGAGAAACCTAAAGCCAAAAACCCAAAAAGACAAAAGACAGAAGGCCTCCAAAACGTTTAAAACCTTCCGATGCTTTTAAGTGTGGTGATGTCCAAGCGCACGTAACGTTAAACCAGAGGCCCATGTGTGGTTCACAAGGTGTCATGTGCAAAAAGAGCGTGAGCGCCTGCAGGTGTGGAGGATGTAATGGGAACACCGTTTAAACACAGCGCGCAGGTGTGGCCACGCCCATGACAGGGTGACAGCTCAGGATGCGCGTGAGCTTGCCGTGCTCGTTATGGCACTCAAGGCCGCGGACGGAGGCATGCGTCTTTTGCGGATTATTCAGGCCTTGTAAGCTCGTTTTTGTGACTGCCATCTCTGCTTGACATGGTCCCCAATGGAGATGATGAAGCCGACTTGACAGAGCCAACACTGCTGGCCCCTACCCGACAACAGCCGACGACGCTGTCCTTCCAACTGTAAACCCAAAACGACGGCCTGCACCATTGACCTTTGTGTTCACAGCAGACACATTGATACCCAAAGCCAATGCCTTTGATCCTCTCCCACCAACAGTCCCACGACGAACGCCGCCATCCCCTCATCGACTCACGGCGAGCACGCGCACAAAAAGCCCCGGGCGCTGCCGTTTGCACATGGACCCCATCCACAATTTTGTTGATGTTTTACAGTTGAAAAGGTCTGACATTTCCCTCGTGCCTTGATTCAACTTTGCGTAAATTTGTATTAACAAGAGGCGATAAGAGTGCTTGAAATGGTTTAGAATGTCCACTTTGGAAAGTTCAGCAGCGCCTGGAGGGCTCCAGCCTCGAGGGCAGACCTTGACAGGGGAGTACTCATCAGGCCGGTACAACAACAACGGGCAGAAGGGTACAACAACAACGGGCAGGCAGGCACGAGAACAATCTCAACAGGAAGAACAACCAGAGCAGCAGCAAGAGCAACATGATGACGAGGCTTGCTTCCTCACATCTCCATCAGCACGGGTCATGGCCTGCCATGCATAATTCCAGAGCATCTGGTTGACACGGTTCGACACGCCAACTTATCGCGCCTTGTCAAGGCAGCCACGCGAGCTCAGAATAAGAGAGGAAGCTAAGCTGGGCAGATGAACGGCATGTCCTTGTAGCGATCGTCGCATTCCAGGCATGGGTTTTGCTTGAACCCGCCTTGCAAGAGATGCTTGCGCACCTTGAAAGTCAGTCCGATACCAAACCCCACGCGCAAGCCAGCCACCATCAGTCAACGCCGTCGGGCATCAGGCATGGCCACGACTCACAAGTGGGAAACACCTACCTCTGACACCACATCATAGTATGACGCGTTGGGACGGTGACGCAGCACCGTCGCAATGGCATTGGTCAGCGCCCTAGCCACCGTATAAGGAGCGCCGTCACATGTCAATTGCCGTGGACACTCCCTCGAAGCACAACGGCAAGCGTACCCAAAGGCGCGGCTGCGGTCTCCCGACGGGCACGCATCAGCCGACGTTTCGTGGGCCTAGCGCGTCGTACGTCCAGACGACATACACAGTCACAACACAAACATACGAGCATCAGACCTCTCGGCCGAGACTTTTTACCAGTTCAAGCGCCTCTCACCTGACAGCCCGTGATCAAGATGCCCTTGTCCGAGCTGAGCTGCTGCTCCGGTGGAGGCTTTTGACCCTGCGTGGGGGCTGTAAAACTAGTGTTGTTGCCGATTCATACCCGTGGTTCTGACATGAGCCCTATGCCATTTCTGGACCTTCTACGCCTGGGGCCACAATGCCATACAAATCAAACCAAAAAGTTTTCACCTACTTGGACGAGAGACCGGGAATGCCCAGCGAGTTGCCGCCACTGCTGCCTCCATATTTGGCTGTTCGGCAAACATCATGATACTCAGTTACAGCTCTCTCCATACCCACACCACCTGTGCGCCCGCCCAGAGTCAGCAGCCAACACACCTGCTCGGAGACACCGAATGAGATGAAGCAAGCCTTGACCACACATGCTGTTCTGATCCGTGTGCTGCTGCACCGCGCGCAAAAAGTTGAGCGCCGTCGTCGAGGCATCTATAACCGGCAGCCATCCCCAGATACAATTGCACAAGCGTCAGCAGGTGCAGGTTCAGCTCCAGCCCACCACACTGGCCACGGCCAACCCACCGGCAACCTACCAGCACCAAAAATATTAGCCAAATGATAGCGAATATTGCCGGGACGAACGGTGTGGCCCGTCTGCTGGGACAGCATGTTTGCCAGCATGTCCAACGGAATTTCTCGTGGTGTCGCTTCAAGACCACGGCCCATGGCGGCGCCCATGACATCCATGAGTCCCGGTATCTGGCTGGAACCGCCCTTGTTGCCCTGAATCTGCACAGCGGTGTGATCCAGCATGGAACCGCTGTGGCAACAGTCGGTCACGACGGTCAAGTTGGCGCCGCTTGGCAGCTGCTCCACAATCTCCCGTAGATCGTCATCAATGATGATGTTCAGATCCTACACACGGTTTAAGAGCCGAATAAGGAAGGGGAAGGGGAAGGAGGCGCGGGGAGAGAGCGCGTTGGTAGAATGGAGCCAGTTCGTGGTTCTCTCACTGTTGGACAGATGGCCTCGTCTTTGCCATCAGCCTCATTCGTGTCTCCTACCAAATGGTACAAAGACACCACACGCCTTCAATGAGGTGCTGATCGGCCGAAGGCATCGAGGCGGTGCTCTCTTTTCCCTCTTGCTTTCACCGTCACCCTCGCCCTGACCTTCGGCTGGGATTTGGGTACCATGCCCAGAGAAGTGGAACACCAGGTAGTCGCCTGCTTTGCTGCTGCGTACGAGCTCGTTTAAGCCAGCTTTGATGTTGCGTCCCGTGGGTGACGCGTCACTGCGCAAAGATGGGGGCATATGAGCAAGAGAAAGTTGGCTTCCTTCATAACCCGACTCGGTCGGCGCCCGAACGGGGTTGGGCGGGTCGATGCGACGCACCGGCTATCCGTGTCAATCATGACCGTAATGTCGCTCTTGGAAAAGCCCTAAACATTTCAGTCATTGTTGTCAGGGCAGTGCGTAGCCTTGCTCGCATCGCAAACCAGCTGACCAAGGCCCCAGGGGACAAAGCGACCTTGACCTTAAGATCTGTCAAGATGGTGTGCATGGACCAAACATCGTTGACGCAACCATTCAACTGTGCCTGCGTACCCGGGTCTACATCGATCAACCAAGGCCCCTTGATCATGAGACACGCAGCCAAGCAACGCAAGTCAGTTCTTCACAAGCCCATCGCCTGAAACTCACAGTTGCACCCGACCAAGAGCGCCTTCTTCGCCATGGTGGTGATGCTGTCAATAATAAAAAAATGAACAATCCCCTCTTTTGACTGGTCTCTTGATGCGCGAGTCCTATTTGATGATGTTACTCAGTGCACGAGCTCATCAAGCTCACAACACCCGGTCCATCCCCTGACTCGTAGGTGTGCCCCGTGACCCATCCTCCCCATCCATCCTCCCCATCCACCCATCCATTCAGCCATCACACAATCAGAGATACACTTGTAAGCGACAAAATGCTTGCATGAATGCAATCACACAAGTCGTCTTCTTTTTTTCTTTTTTTTTTGTTCTGTTCAAACACAACTGGCTTGATCGTCATGGTTGGGAGACCCTATTCTCAATGACATTGTGTTCCAAATTGGCCGCCGCCTTGGTTCCGATTGACCCGTGCTGAGGCTGCAAAGGCCGAGTGAGTGTGTGCGTGGTGAGGCTCTTATGTTGTTGAAAGGATTTCGATTTCATGACTTTCCAGCATTCCGGATCCTTCTAGATATTATGATGATGATGGTCTCAGGGCCCTCCGACCCGCCTGGTCTAAATGTTGAGCAGGGGACAACCCTTGCACCCGGCTACATGCGCAAACATTTTCTTTTCTTTACCTTCAAAGCGACAACTACGTAAACATCACGTTTCACTCGCACGGCTCGGACAATCGGCCGTCCAGCACGACCGTCCAGGCTGGGGGAATCTCCACGTCCAGTTGCGTGTGCAAGGCCAGAGTACACACGTCTAACCCAGCAAATACCAAACAATGAGCGCCCGCTAAAAGTACATTTTGTACCACTTGGCGAGGGCAGTGACATACCATCAGCTGAGCAGACGGAAGAAAAGTGGGTCAGGCATCGTGCGTCATTGCTGTACCTAAAAGTCAACGCCGCGGTATGAGAAACTCGGGCGCCGTATACCCATCGATCCGCAAAAAAAAAAGCGCATCACGTGGATCCCCAAACACACCGGCAAGAAAGAGTCACGGTGGCCGTGCTGTCGGGGCTACCGCAAGATGCCTTTGCAGCAAATGCTGTGGCCAGCCGCAGTAGAAGACGAGTGACCGACAGGGAAGGATTGCGCAGCGACAGGGTCACGCCGACCCCCACATGCGCGGCAAAGCCATAAGCCTGTTCGCGCACGGCATCGCCGCCAACCCACCGCGCTTGCTGCAGAACTGGGGCTTGCTGACGGGCCCACTTGCTGGCAGCCGCCACAATGTCCCAGGCAGCAGCGCTCATGGTGTCTGGGCTCACGTAGAGCTCTTGCAACTGAACACCAGTGGCAAAGTAGGACCAGACTTCATCGCGAAAGGAGGGTAGATCCTCGGTCGAGTTGAGCCCGACAGCGCGACTCTGGCCCATGTTCCCGGTAATAATGCCGTGCAACATCAAAGCAGAAACTGGAAACAAGCCAGCTCGTTGCACCACCAGCTTGTAGACCACGGCATCACGAAAGTTGATCCACTGCTGGCGCCGCGTGCCCTCACCATGCAGTCCGATGTCGCCATGCCCACGCCAGATTGAGTCACCAAAGAGCAGCCAAAATGGGCTGGGCCACATGCCTGACCAGGTGCAAAACGGGCATGGCGTGTCAGCGTCCACAAACACGCCGTTCGCGCCTCCGGCGCAAGCACAAACTTACCGGTCGTCAGGTTTATCCAGAAGGCCCTGCGCGCCTCCCGGCGCAGCGTCTGCAAGAGACGCAATAAACCCTCTAGCTCGGTCAAGTACTCATGTTGGGCTCCCTCGCCAAAAGATATGCCGTCAAACTTAAACATGGCAACGTGGTACTTGGTAACAAAGTCCAGGGTAATGGCTTTGAAGCGCTCAAAATACCGTGGTCCAGACAAACTAAAGCCCTGGCGGTTGAGCTCATAGCCCTGCCGCCGCCCATAGGCCACGCGAGCATCCTTGGCTGAACCATAGCCACCCCAGGGCGACACCCAAACTGCTACATCTGCACCGTAGGTTTGGGCTCGCTCGGCCACGGGAGTCAAGCCGCGCGGAAAGCCGCTGTGAAAGGACCATAGTGATTTGTGGTCATCCCAACCGTCATCCCAGAGGAATGCGTCCAATTGCACCCCACGCTTGACCACCAGCTCCTGGCTGAGACGCTCCACGCGGTCAATGCACGAACGCTCTGTCATGTTTCGGTCGGCAAAGGCGACATCGCGTTCCTGCCAGCTGTAAAAGTCAAACCAACTATTATAGTGCAGGAATGGCCGCGCCGGCGACGCGCGCACTTGGGATAGATAGGCCCAAAATGCTCGCTGGAGATCAGCGCCATGCCGGTACATGCCAATCACGGTTGTGTAGGTAAAGCTGGTGGCCCCTGCAGCTAGCGGTGGCAGGCTCATGAGTCCACACACTGCCAGTCGTTCGTCACTGGCCAAAACGCCATTGGAAGACATGGGATGCTCGAGTCCTGCAAAAAAGCGGGCTTCTCGGCTGTAAATTGGACTACCCGGCACCGTGCCTGACATGATCACAGGCACGTCTCGCAGCTGCCAGGTGACCAGGTATCTGCAGCAATCGCGACATCAGTGGGGTATACAACACGGGCACAGCAAGGGCGAGGTGGCAGCCAAGTGTGGCCAACTTGCGCACATGTACCGCACCTGGGAGGAAGAGTGGCGACTGGAAGATGCGAGGTCAGCGCAAAGGAAGTTCGAACAAAGTGGTGAGGAGCCTCCGGAGCTACGGAGAGTTGCCATGAAATAGAAAAGGCCTCGGCGACGTCAGCCCAAGCACAGCTGAGGCGCGCTCGCACTTGACGAGCCTGATAAATGGGCCCATCTGAGTTTTTATCGCCCGCAGGGGCCATCGGTGGAGCCACCCCCGTGGTAGGCTGGTAGGTCAACTCGACGAGTCGGCATGCTGCAGAGGAGATGACATGGGAGCCAAGGCCCAGCTGGAAGAGCTCCGGCTGCGGTTGAAACGCGGTGGGCTTTTCGGCGTAAATGTTTTGAATGCGCCCAAAGGCCAATGTTCGAGCATCCCCCCGGGCTGAGGGTTGGGGGTGCATGCGTTGCAGCACATCTTGGACAGACTTTTGCAAGGGCACGATGTGAAGTCGCAGGTTCAAGGCAGGCGTAGCCACTTCGAGCGTGCCCCCGGCTCGGATGTCTAGTTTTTCTTCGGCAGCCGCGGCCAGTGGTACAGATGGATCCTCACCACGGCCTGGGCTTGCGCCCGCCGCGGGCAATTTGCGTGCCACGGGGACGGGGCGCGCATCCGCTTGCGCAAAGTCAACCACGGTCTGTCCTGCGCGAGAGCGGCGAGCAGCCGCTCCAGTGCGGTGGTGCGAGGTATCGAATTGATGACGCTCAGCCAACACATCATAGGCACGATTAGAGGATAGCGAATGGCGTTGCCAGGCCCCAGCCACGAGATACACGGCAGTCACCAGAGCCACGAGCAGCGCCGCGCGACTCAATATTCCCCGCGCCCAGCGACTGGAGAGCAACATCCTGGTGGATGCCGCTTGCCCAAGCCTCCGAAAGTGGCAGTTCACACAAAACTCCTTGGGCAGCAACGCCGATCAAGCCAGTCTGCTACTGCAACCCCACAATCCTCTCCGTGATGATGCCTTGCTCTACGCCAGTGCACCATCGACCGAGCGATCGGAGCTCGCCGAACAGCTCTCGAGCCAGTTCAAAGCCAGTGAGAATCTAATTAACCGCTATATTCTTGTCGATAACTGGTCGGAGGTATCTTTGTTATCTTTAACGTTGCGA